TTAAGGTTAAAAGAACAGATTTTATGGGAGTCAGCATTCTTTGACCCTGGTGTCAGGCAAATACTTGGTTCCATCAGTCGTTGTCATAATTCGTTCCTCATACTTGCCAGCCTCTTTTATTAGTGTAGGTGAGCCAACACAGTTCACAAAAGTCCAAAAATATTTAAAACATTTTTTTTCTACACAGGGAAAAAAGCTAAACCCATGAACTTATGAAATGCAGAGTCAGGAAAATAGAAATTAGTGGCAAAACCTTTGACAGCGTTCACTCTTAGGTTGCATATAATTACAGAAATTTCACTGCAGGTTCTAATGTATTTCATAATTTGAATTTGTGTATGTGCTCACACATTCATTTTATCTAGTGAAGTTGTTTTTCAAGAACTTTGCAGTAATGTTTAGTTCATCTCACAGGAATGTGGCAATGATATTGGGTAAGTCTAAATTCAACATTTGTGGTTTCTGTTGGACTTTTAAAACATTTATTACATCACAAATTCTAATCAAAATATTTTGAGATTGCAGACATTCTGTAAAGAAAATGTTATGCCAGGTGTTGATAAAAGATAGTATTTTCCCTACTTCTGTAACCAAATAAAGAACTACTTAATGCTTATCTTTCACTATGTAACATCATCTGGTAATGTTGCCTACATAACTAGGATGCATTTGGGGAACTTATACTGCTTAGTTACTAAACTAGCTACAGCAGGGACTTGACCAATATACTGCCTACTTACACTTCACAGTGTAAAGACTTCTTCCTATAAGAATACAGATGATAAGTAACTTTTTGCTAGAGAAGCTGAATCTTGTTTCATTTGATAAAGAAGTAGTGTCATTGGAAACGTCAAGGCACTAAGGGTCTGATATTACAAGGTACAGGGCAATTTACCAACTTTCTATGCAAAATAATTACCAAGACCAAAAATCTCTTTAAAGGTAACTTCAGGAACAGGGCATTTCACTCTAAATTGAAGTAGTGCAGCTACTACTTTGGCTGAAATGAAACTGAAAACCTCAGAAAGGATAGATCTAATAAAAAGATACATTCAGTATCTGCCTTTTAGAAACTCTGGGTGGTTGAAGGAGGAAGCACAGATTTCAAGAAACTTCAGAATTATTGATGCAAATTTACTCAGGGAAAATGAGTATCTCGGGGTGAGAAGAGGTTTATTTTCCAGCCAAAAGCCAAAAATAACCTTGTTTTCAAAAAGCTGTTTAGGAACTGTTGACACTAGACACTAGAGAATCTCTTCTACTCTGAAAGTAAGTAATAACCTAGTATTTGCTGTTTTCTATGGAGTAGAACTTTTACTTCAGACTTTTAATGAAAGTTAAGGCAGTTTCGTGGAAAGACTTTGTAAATCCAGGTGCTGGATAAATCTTGACCAAAGCTGGGCTAGATGAGAACATGGTTGTGTTAAGTCTGAGTTTTTGAAAGTTACTTTTCAAAGAACACAGTTTGAAAATATGCATTAATAAAGGGTGTGTGTAAGGGAGAGAAGGGGGGAGGGTGTCTAGAGATGAAGCCTTCTAAGCAAAATCTCCACTAAAACCATTACTTCCTTTCTTCCATTAAGTCAATTTTCACCTAAGATTTGCCTACTGACTGCAATACTTCTGAAAACAGACTGCTTCCCACCTCTAAGACAGGAAGAGAAAATGGCAGTCACTGCCTAAGCAGCTGCCCTGCCTAAGCAGCTGCTAGTGAGCCAACTCACAATACACGAGCAGGATTTCTTGGTGAGTTTCTTCACAGCACCCAAACGGAGCTATGCACCAGTTTTAGAACCTATCCAGAGGTTCCTTGGGCCTTTTAATGTAAAACTTTATCATGCACCATAAAATTCTTAATAGATAACCTAGAAAAAGACAACATCTGTGAAATAATTACAAAAAGACAAACCCAGCCTTCAGACCAAAGTCAGAGATCGTAATTCAAAACTACCTGTATAGGAATGAATATTAAAAAACATCAATACTGTTACTCTGAGGGGTGGGCTGTGGGCCAGCATGCAACAAATGCCAGTTGCACCTCTAGTATAGCAAAGGAGAAAAAGCAGGCAAGCGTGTTTCACTTCATGGGTGGATGCTACTGCTTGAAACGCTCCTGAAAGTTTTGCTCCAACCTTGTAGGCTGAGCTAATCCCACTGCGTGAACTCTTTCAACCTTCCCAATACTCAGACAGTGAACTTGGGCAACTCACGAGGCAGAGCTTCAAACCATAAAGTTCTACTCGTGAGGTAGTATATAAGAAACAGATGAAAGTCCACACCACTATAATGCGTCTTGTAGCGGAGAATGAAAAAAACAGGGCAGAATAGAGGTTGTGAGAAATGGGAATTAGTGTATCTACTGAGAGAATACCTTTAAGCACAGATGAAAAGCCCTGAACAGAAGAGGCCAACAAAATACAGAAGTGAGGGGAAAAAAAAAAGTCTTGCAAAATGAAAAGAACAAGCAACCTGCAAATAGAATCACAGAATCATAGAATCATAGAATCATTGAGGTTGGAAAAGACCTCTAAGATCATCGAGTCCAACCGTCAACCCAACACCACCATGCCCACTAAACCATGTCCCTAAGCACCTCATTAGTGAAAGCAGAAAACCCCTCCTATTTCACCTTTTATGTGATATTATAAATCAGCTTACGTTCATAAGGAATTCTATGGTTTTCTACTCTAATATACTGATAGAACAGCATAAAGGGCTTTTGCATGAATTGGAAAATGGAAGTAGTCACTATATACCACATATTGCCAGCAAGCAATATGACATCAATGTGTTCCTGTAGCAGCAACATATGGTTTCCAAAAAAATCCATCCTTAAATATACATTGATTTTACTGAGACAGGAAACTTAGAATGAAAAACTTGTAGGAGATAGGGTGGTGGACCTCAAATCAAATATTATGATCTGCTGAATCGAATCTAAATTTTAGATTGATCTCACAAGCAGCAGATTCTTGCCTGAACTTCTGTAGTGATTTGAAAAAGATGGTGTTCAGGAGCTTTGCATATTACCACAGAGATATGTAGCCAAATTACCTCCGTCTGGATGTGCTAGAGTTTCTCCTCTGACTACAGTGCCACAAGGCATCCTAAGAGCCCTAGTATGATAGATTATCTTGGGAAAAGGAGTTCAAAAGCCAGAAAGTGCCTGAAATAAACCAAAATCAAATACTTTGGGCGGAGGGGGGTGAGGCAGACAGGAGAGGAAGCTTGGCTGGTGATGGGTAGGATGTACCAAACAGACCACACTTTTTCTCCTCTTCCATTTCAAGACATTAGTATAACAAATTTGAGAATAAATTTTAATAACTATTCTAATTTTAGATTTTTCTTTCCATGTGACTATGAATTTCTGCAGTTAGTAAACTACCATCTTAAATGTCTACTTTTCATCTAACCTCATGTGGGCATTGTAAAGGTTACATTTCTACTTGATATTTTCTTTTTTGGAAATTTTGATGCAGATCTGATTGACTGTATGAAAAATATTAAATGGCCACAGGATAATACCTTGTTATTTTCCATCTACATCCTTTGATTACTTGCAAATACTGAAGGAAGTCCTCCTGCTTGCCAATAACTATCATTTTATTGGCCATAATTTCAATCAAATACAAAGGCATTTATTAATTCTTGACAAGCCAACTGTAGTATTAATTTTAGGAATATGTTGTCATCTGAGTATTATTTATTGACTCAACATCATGCCCAGTGCTTCGAAATTTGGATTAAAAACCCCAACTATTAATTGGTGCACAAATATATATTGCTTTCTTAAATAAAATTTAACAGTATAATATAAATCAATCAAATACAAAGGCATTTATTAATTCTTGACAAGCCAACTGTAGTATTAATTTTAGGAATATGTTGTCATCTGAGTATTATTTATTGACTCAACATCATGCCCAGTGCTTCGAAATTTGGATTAAAAACCCCAACTATTAATTGGTGCACAAATATATATTGCTTTCTTAAATAAAATTTAACATTATAATATAATATGGAAAAGAAAGCTGCTAGAATGTTTCCTCAGCTGCCCACTGACCATTACATAAACCCTATCCTTACAGCAAATGGATGCAGCGCTCCTCAAGAAAACCATGTTTCTTTTGAAATTGGGAATTTCAGTCAACTTCAACAATGTTGAAATTTTACCTACACTGCACTGCTGTTAGAAAATATCTAGCAGCCTTAATTCTTGCTTTTCACTGATGATGAAAGGCAAGCACAGATAAAGCTTCTTATTAGTTTTCCTGTCTGAATGAAAGAAGAATCTTTAAAAATGATCATTTTCCAGAGATATGAAAAGCAGGCTGCTCAAGGACTTCTCATTCACTTATGCAGACAGAGAGTGTATGTTACAAATAGATGTTTTATGACATAAAATGATTTATTTTATTTTAAAAAAAAGACAGGAATATCAGTCTTTTTTCATTGCATGCATTTGAACACCTCATTTTCTCAACCTTATCCACAAAGTCAGAACAGCTGTGTACAGGGAATTTGTTTTTCATTTGTTGAGTTTTCATGCATATGAATACATACTAGCAGTTGTTTCTAAGAAAAATCACTTTGTCAGACCCTAGCGAAATATGAAGGTTTTAGGACTGTGCTACAAGGAGATGACGATAATGCAATGAGTTGGGAACAGGTTCAAGGCTTTATAAGGAAGACTTATGTTCTAAGGAAGACACTTCAGCGTCCTACTTCAGAACCCAGGTGGGTTCTGAAGCTGCCTTCTGCTAACCGAAAATGAGGCTGCGCATATAGCCTGGCTGGGAAAATGTGGTATTTTAGGTCATCAAACTTAGATTAAGTCCTTTTGCAAAAACTATATTCTGAAAATCCTCCTTATTTATTTTACAGTATGTACATTTACACAGCCTGACTTGTTTTAGGTGAGATTGATATATCAATCAATCAGCATCCTTTTAAAGGATGTAACCAAAGCTGGAAAATAAAGTGCTCGTTTGCTTCATCTATGTATTCTGTACTCTTATGTTTCTCATGTCTTTCAGCAGCATAGGTCTGTAGGTTGCCTCCAAGCTTTCCATGTATTCTAAATAATCACTCACTCGAAATCCATGGAGTGCTTCTTCCTGCACAAATACACACAGAAAACATTTATTAGCTAGGAAAAAAAAGATGTACAACTCAAATTTAATGAATTCCAAGCTTCTAAAGATAGCTTATTTTGTTCTGCTTGTCACAGCCTGGGTGTTTAAAATACACATATTTTATTACATTTCATTTAGAAATAAAGAATTCGTAATATCTGCTTCCAAACAGTTCTTTCTAATTACAAGTCTTGGTAACAAATAGTTTTTTCAGGTGGACGTTGTTCCTCTCATTTTTGGAGAACATGCCATATGAAGATTCTTAAGGAAAACACAGGAAGCTTTAAGAAGGCAAAGCCAGGTACTAAAATATTCTTTTAAAAGATTTCTATACCAGCACATGGCATGCTAAAAGTTTGTTAATGTGGCTTTTATATCCAACTAGATTCTCAATAAAACCAGGAGAGTAACAGTAGATACTTATTTTTAAAGTCAATGATAAAGAGAGATCTTTATGAAGTGCTTAAGTAAAAACAGAATAAACACTTCTGCATCACCACAAACGATTAATTCTTACTAATTCCAAAACACAGAGTAAAAGAAGGTGCCCTCAGGACAAAGAAACGAACAGGCCATGTTCCTTCTTGCGGCTACTATATTAGTGGGAGAGGGAGGATGCACTGCAGAAAGCAGGATCTTGAAGAACAGTCTGGGTAAAATGGGTGAATTTGTTGCTGCTTTGAACTGGAACAACTTGTGTGCCCACCATCTACCAAGCAGTATTACCGCTGTTGGCAGCATGTGCTGCAGAAAGCTCTCTGGAGCCAGACAGTCCTTGTGGACACATGTATCTGCTGGTGTATTGACTGTGCATCTCTGTGAAGCAGAATTCTCCTGAGAACATCTACTCAGGCTTGGAAGGCTGCACTTAGGCATCTGAACAGGAATTCGAGACAGTCTTTATAGTTCTCCTCCCCTACTCACAAGTGAAAGCAAAGGCATGATTTTACCTTCCAAGTTGCTCTTCATGCAGTGTGAGAAGGTTGACTACAGTGGAAAAGAAAACTGACTCCAATAGAGAACTGTAGTAGGTATCGAACTCTTTTTTTTTTTTTTTTTAAGCAGTCAAATCCTCTATTGATTAAATGTGCACACATATTAAAGCATCGGTCAGCAACTTAGTTGTCAATAATATGGCCCATACTCACAGAAAATAAAGTGAAGAGTAGCTAAATTACTCCTAGAAGAGACTGACATACTGGCCTACATGTGCTATGACAACAAGTCACAAACCCTGTAGCCTCAGTTTCTCTATTTTATCCAAATGAAACCAAATAGTCAAAATGGGCTTCCTGAGGTGGCAGGTTACAGTATTCTTGGTTCACATGTGGAAATTACAAAGCTATGCACCTTCATCCTTCCATCAAAGCATTAATAACAGACCAAGCAATAAATTTAAAATTCAGTTAATGCTGAAACTTCAAGAAGGGATCATAACTGTTAGTAACCCATCTCAGCCAACAGAAAGAACCAGGAAAAGGGAAAAATTGTTCATGGACAATTTGTTACTTCTACTTTCCTCTTGGTGCAGAGGAAAGGCAAATTATAGAGTAATAGAAGATGATCTCTTTCATAGGTGGTCATCTGTTTCTTATCACTTTCTAGTGATAAGGACACATTGAAAGGGTGAATGTTTTACTTATTTTAAGTGCTAGGCATAATGTAATCTGAATTGACAGCAAAGTTGTCTCCAACTTCTTTTTTCATGTGCAAATCAAAGTATATTTTTATTTTAAGAAGAAAATATTTGTTTTTAATTTTAATAGATAGCTGGAACTACTTATTAGGTAACACCAACAAAGGTGTATTGCTGTCAAATCATCATCTTTTCATTACAGATATGAAGCATGTTAGAAGCTTAAAAACAGAAAGTACTATCAGTTCTTGGAAGGAAAATAGGCAGCAGGACTTGTTCGTATAGCAAAGGACCATTGCTAGTATGAAGTTCAAGCTGTGACATTACATTAAAAAAAAAAAAAAGAATATTCAAAGGTTATAGGTGTGTTGGATTTTTTTCTTAACTTGGATTATGTTCTCAGAATAGTTCACACTTCCACTTTTAAGAGAATTGCTCCACTACAGTAATCCAAATTTGTGAATGTTGTGCTGAGAAATAGGCTAAAACTTGAAACTGATTTTGGTTATTCCAATAAAACGGCAGCTGACTAACGCCTTTGCGTTAGTAACCTCACATGAAGCCCATAATATAGCTGAAATTGAATGAATACAATGACAGAATATTTTTTTCTCTTTAGATGAATTAAGAGCTATCAAAACAAGAGTACAGTTTAAGTATGCTATTAACTCCTCTTTTTCTGCAGTAGTCACTCAATGAATTGTAAATACTCCTGTAGTGCATTAATATAGAGTATTTCTCGTTAATTTAATACTAATATGTCAAATCTTTGGCCTGTTTATACTGTAGGTGACAACATACAAATTCTCTCTTCTATAATTTACATAAACTATCCCAATAATGCCATCAAGATGAAGTAGTTTTTAAGCCACATTGACCAAAACCAGGTCAAACAAAACAATTCCCTCATTAGACTGCATACCAAACATTTTCAAGGCAAATGACTGAGCTGACATATTATTCATATTAAAGATAAGTAAGTTGGATGCAAACTAGTCAGAAAACTGTTGTTAGGACAGACTAAGATGCAGATATATAGCCCTCAAAAGAATTCTGACTGGAGAAAAAGAAAAAAAAGACCAGAGAAAAAAGCAAAAATGTCTTTGGGAAGAAGAGTCAAATATTTGTATCTACTCATGACTGCATCTATAGATAAGCAGTACCCTGCAAAAAGAATCCAATAACCAAACGTAATTTATAATATGGCAAAGAATATGAAATTGTGAGGGTAGTTGTACAGTAATTGGCATCTGTTCAAAGTAACAGCTCACTGAGCTTTGTGTCGCCTATCTTCAAGCTTCAGTAGGAGACCACTGTGCAAACCCACCTTTCTGGAGAACATCTAGTTTAATGAGATTGAGGCCACATAGAGAGAACTGAATCAAATGCCCTCGTGACTTAATGTGGCTATTTACTTTGCTTACAAAGGGAACTGATCAGGACAAAATGCAGGAAAGCTATTCTCTGGAAAACACTATACCACAATTTCCTGCCAGGAAGTAAATAAAATTAAAGTATTATTTCACTCATTTAAAATTAATAAGTGAAATCCAGTAAGAGCTTCAGATTAAGTAACACATATATTTTCAGTATTGAGAGCTTTGATTCCCTTCAGCAATTGAAAAATTAAAAAAGAAACCCTTACTTTAAGAAAAACCTGGAGATCTTGGGCTTCAGTGTGCTGTAGGATGTCTTGCTGTAGGTGTCTGAACACAGAAATACACATATATATTTGATAATCGGGACCAAGGAAAATACATATAGCAATGTAGTGACAGATCTCACTCCAGTCCATGTAATTCCAGAAACACTGAGTTATCCATTGCAGACAAATCTAGATGAGAATCACATTATATATAATTAAGTTGCTGTAGACATTCAGTCATAATTGATCAGGTTTACCTCTTAAACTTTTCTATACTACAGACCCTTTTTCCTATAAGATTACCCTATTTATGAAAATAAAACAGATGAAGTACAAATGAAGCCAAGAATCACCGTTTTTTACATCGCAGCCTCTGAATAGACTTCCAGTGAGTTCTGCTAAACATAACACCCTGCATCCATGCATCTCACTTATCTGAGTATATTCTGGCAGCTGCTGAGGTTGAGACATAAAACTCAAAGTCCAATGAAAGCAGAGGTGATTTTTTCAAGTTATTTTAAAATGTGGCCTAAAGGGTAATGAGGGTGATGAAGGCGCCTTTAATGTGGATTTTCCTTTAAATTAAAGTAGTTCTTTGCCTTATAAATGAATGTTAGGCCCTTCCCTAAGACGCGTTTTCATTTAATGAAATGGGTATGGAACACACTTAGTGACTCCTTTTTCCAGTTCTGAATCACAATGTATTAAGATGTGTACAGCACATTTCATTTAGTTCTAGACCACAAATCTTCTGCTAATCAGTCCTTAAAGTGTTTAAAAATACACAGCAGCAGAAGTACCAAGATTATAATTAGATGACAGCAGCCATACTCTGGCATTAAATCTGTTTTCGGGTATTTATTGATGCACACAAGCACTTAAATACATCAGCGTTGTTTTCACAGTTCAGGGTTTGTTTGGTTTTAATCCTGCAGTACAACTGCAAAATCACACAGAAGATACAGTGGCACCCACCAGTGGCATTTCAGTAACACGTTAAATAAAAAAAAACAAAATCCCCAAACAAAAAATCTTGTCAGCAGTTTAGAACAATAACTAGTCTATTATTAATTGAGTGCAAACAATAAAAAAGCATTCGGTATAACTTACACAAGAATAGTTGAGGAAGGAGTGACTGTCCCCGTGTGTTTTCCCACTCCAAAACAGGAACCTTATTATAAGCACCTCATTCCTATGCTGAGATAAAGTCCCTCATCTGCCAACCTTCTCTCCTCAAAGACCAAATCCCAAGCTGACTATTTTAAGCAATATCTGTACCACACTGGCATCTGCCCCCCATTAAGAAGTCTCTTAAGCTGCAAATCTGGTGGCAAAAAGGAATTTTGAAGGCATAAGATGAAAAATATTTTTCTTGCCTTGGAACAGCAATAAGCTTTCTTACTGTGGTGAGAGGCCTTTTGCATTGGCAATCTAACTCATTATTGCATTAAGCGGTTTATGCTTTATCATGACTGCAGTCTTTACAAGTAAAGCTCCATACCTAGCATTCCATATTACCAAAGAATTGTAGTAAATAGGTAAAATGAAAGCTAACATTATGGATAAATATTCTTCTTTAGTAACATCTCTTTAATATAAAAGAATAGTGTGTAACCTGATTGTAATAGTTATGGTAGCTCATATAAAATTCATTTTCCTCTAATATCACCTGAATTGCTTCCTATTATACACCTATCCCAATTTACTCATTTCCCTCTTATGGAAAATTTAGAAAATTATTCCGGGGAATAAGATATTCTATTTATTTTTAATGATAAATCTGAGGTTTTAGTATATATTACTTTTATCAAGTTTTCTGCATGAACATGTAATGGAAGGTCATTAGCTGCAGTACACTGTCATTATTCTACCAAAGTCAGTTGCTTTCTATTTTCAGATGCTCTAAGACACTATGCATTCAATACTATCTTTTACCCCCAGTTTCATAACTACCACACAAGTGCTGTATAGAAAAACCACAGTAGTTCCTGAACGTCCTTGACTTTGTGGATTTAAGTCAAAAAGTTGATGATACTTTGATACACTTTCATCAGTTACCTGGGATGGAGTAAAACCAGACATGTGGAAGGCTGAAAAGACAAGTGGCAACTCAGCTTTCATCAACATTTCGATGTGGTGAGCACTGCAAAAATAGACTGGATGGATGCCAGATTCCACTGTGGTAATAGGCAGGTGCATCTGATTAACAACAACATCATCATCATCATCAACAACAATAAAATTGAGGAAAAGGATTACAGACTACAAAAATGTGTTATTTTAAAATACCTTCCTGAGAACAATATATAAAAATATACACATTTACTTGTAAAATAAGCCATCCCAGTTATTTTAGAGACAGGAAATAGAATAAACAAAAAAGCTGGTAACCATCAGGAAAAACATGTAGTTAAACTAAAGAAAATTAGAAGTTAGAAACTGTTATTAAATATATCCTGACTATTCCTTTTCATTAGAAATCTAGTTGTTCATTGCATGTAAGCTTTAATTGTCAAAGCAGGGATGGAGAAACTGTTGTTATATTTTAAACAAAAGAACAGAAGGGAAAAAAAGACTAATTTCTGTTGGATTTTTTTTTCCCATTTACTGGTGGATAGAGTGGAACTTCTATGGTATTTGAAGTTCTTTTCTGAGTGCACGTTTCTTTGCAGTATGTGCAGCTAGTACGAGTGAATTTCTATGCTGTGCAGCAAAAGGAACAGAGGTTTTATCAGTCTGGAAAGCTCTGGATATCAGTGCCTGGTTTCTAGGTAATGAATCCTTGGCTTCGTGCTAGAAGGTCAAGGTACATCCTTTGGAATTCTCCTCCTTCCTGCGGTAGGCAGCATCACAATCCAATGGCTGGGTAATTCCTCATGCATGTTTTGACATGTTATTTCAGTTTACATTGTGGTCGTTATGCAAATAGGTTAATTATTGAATTTTCTCTTTGTGTTTTCAAGATATATTATGAAAAAGAAATCATTTAGGTGTTGAGAATGAACGTTAGCACTGCAGCAACCTGCCTGCAGTGCTGGCTAGTTCTTGTATGGAAGACGACTCTGAAGTTCTCAGCACGGACAGTGTTCAGCACAATTGTATTCACACAATGGATCAAAATTTCATTGTGTTGGAACAACCTCAGGGCTGGACTCAGTGCTGTGAGTGGACCAACACGGTCACTTCTGGTGACAAGACAGACCAATTCGTATTAATACAGAAGACTGCCTGCAGAAGAGGTACGGAATCTAATCCGTGCTTCTTATACCCCAGAATTCTCTCGTAAAGACTACAGTTGTTTTATAGTTTATGTTCAAAACATTTGAGACAACGTGACAATGTACAAAGTCAAACTGGAAGGGTTTTATTTTAAATAGATGGAATCACCCCTAACAAAAGATGGAAATGCTGTTTCCTATACTACAAACTTGATCCAAAATACTGATAATTTAAAATTGTCAAGCATTCAATATATGGGCAGTAATAATTTTTAAAATTTACTAAATACATTCTAGTGTATTTAGTAAATTTTAAAACTGATAGTTTTACTAAAAAAAAATAAAATCAAAAGGATGGACTTGCATACTGTAATAATAAAAAAAAAAAAGGTCATTCAACAGTATTGCAGCCTTCACACAGAATCTAATGCCACTAACAAAGTTTATTTTACTGCCAGCTTTAAAATTCAATAACATTGCCTTTACTATCAGTCCACCTGTTATTTCACTACTTTTAACAACCATTTGAGCAAATGTCAAAATTATATTTTTCTGAGAGAAATTTTCAGGGTCACGTATTCAGTTAGAGGGCTTTAATGAAAACTTAATGCATTAAAAAAACCACCAAAACTAAGGAAATTGATAAAGTCTCCTTTAGAAACTTTCAAAGTTGCCTTTCAGAAAGAAACAGCTTTTAATTTCTTACAGATATATGCAGTCTTGGTAGCCAGAGAAATGCTGAAACAAGGAGACGTGAAAATCGCTGAAGAAATGTCAGTGTCTTCTCCCCATCCCCTGACATGATGAGGAAGACAGAAGATGCAAACCAGTCGTAGCCAGCATAGCGCTCCCGCAAGCAGCCTGCGTGAGAAGGTTAAGGAACTGGGGCAGAGATCTCCTCCCCACTGCCCTGCAGGAACTGCAGCCCTCCTCCTCCCCAGGCCCAGGCACACAGAGGCAAGAGCTGGTTTGTTAGAGGTGGGACAAGGGGAATATAGCTGCACAGAAGGCAGCTTCTTGAGGCACGGCTGCCTCTCAAACTGAGTTAAGAGAAACAATTTCAGCTATTTTCCCTATACGCTACTTTCTTCCCAGTCCATAAGTAGTCAAGCCAAAATCAACAAAAGTGAACAAAAAACAAGTAAATGCAAAAAAACCCACACCAAAACAAGTGTGCTTATAGTACAAGAAAGGAGAATGGTGGAGGAGGAAAACAGGAGTTGTGAATATTATGGAAAAAAACCACAGTAAAAGAAAAGCTTTAAAAAAGAGATTAAGCATATTCTGACTAATACACCTGAAGTGTATTTTAATAGTGATATGTAAGTCTAATACCTGAAGAATATAGCAAAGCTTGTTGGAAAGGGGTATGTTTTATTTAAAAAAAAAAAGTTCCACAGTAGATATAAAACAGTCAGAAGTCAAAACATTTCTGTTGATCAGATTACAGCCACCTGTCATTACATGGGTAATACCATTAACACTGTTGGTATTGTGGGAGTACCACAAATACTCATTAATGCTCAAAAGGTGCATTGCTGCAGACTCTTTATCACATACAGAAAGATGTGATCCTACTCCAAAACAGCTTATGACAAAAATGAATGAGACTTACAATTTTAACAAAGTATGGGAACAAACGGGTGAAAATTTTCTTGAGTGCATTGGGTGTGCATTTTAACTCAACAAAAATGCAAAGTAAAAGTGCTGCTTTTTTTTTTTTCCTTTCAGTACATTTTACACATCTGCATCACCATCAAAAGCCCAAACTGAGAGTTCAAATTCCACTGGCATTTTTAGGCAATATAATTTATGCCATCAAGAAAGGATACGAAGTGAGGATACCACAGTTCTTTGCTGTTGTTTCAGAAATTTCTCACAATTCATTAACACGAAGCACAGCCCATTTTCAGCATGTTCTTTTAGCAAGTTTAGATATTTTCCATATCTAGCACAAAAAGTTAAAAACCAAAACTGTTTAAAGGTTAAATATTTTTTTTTAATTCCTAAAAAGCAAGAACTCATATTTAATAGGCCTGTGAAAGTTAAGCTGTCATAGCGTTGTTCATCACAAACACTATGTTGTAGATATACACATAAATGGTTTAACAGAAGATATTATGCTTTATCTAGGAAGGATGCACACCAAACATCTGCTACTCAGTGTTACAATTCCTCACCTAAATTCCTTTTAGTTCAGTTTTAGAGACTGTGGTGGGGAGGAGCAAGTACTCTAACACACACAACTCATCTTCTTCACATACATTATTTAGAATGCCATGAAGTGTATTGTATGTGTAATTAAGAGCATGAGAATTCAAATATTAATACTAAACATAACAATCTGTGGAAGTACAGAAACATTAGCTTTTCCTTCATCACGGCTCTGCAAATTACCAGCCAAATAAAATGTTTAAATGGCATATAACTAAGCTGAGCTAAACAGAGCTATTTAGAGAAGTAATGTGAGGGGAAAAAAAGACACATAACTCAGGGTAATGTAATTTTATGGTAAATCTTACTAACAAGATACAATTAGCCTTTACAACAATAAAGGATAATAACCTATATAATCTGTAAAGATAATTTAATTATGTACTAATACCTTTTTCATTTTCAAAGTTAGAATTCATTTTCTTAAAGATGTTCTTTAGATTTAAACGGTGTCAAGCATTGAGTTGATGGATTAAATATCATTAAAGTCATTCCATGAAAATCAAACAAAACCTAGAAACACACTAGGGAATTATTTTAATACCATGTACCTGACTGTCATTTCAACACCAAGCTGCTGCACAGATGAAAGGCTTTCATTCTTCACATCTGCATCCATGGCTAAAACAAAAGAAAAAATATAGTAAAGTATTATGATAAATATGATTTTAACTGAATACTAACGTAAAGCTTCTTTTATGTATGAATGCCAATTCTGGAGAACTGTTTCTTATTTGAAATGAGTTCAGTAGCGTTTGCAAAGGATGCATCAAGAACCTGCATTCTTCATATACATATATTTTTTTGATTAAAATCACCTTCTTTATAAGGTAATCTTCACTGTTAGTACAGTTATCATTAGCTTTACAGCACGATGTAAACAAACAACATCTTTTTCAGTCCCATTTCTTATTAGAGCTTTATCCTTTCTGGCCAAGAAATCAGACAAAGCAGAATTTTCTGATCTACTTTCTTCCATTCCAGTGGCCTTAAGTCTCCTAGCTGTAAAACCAACTTTATTAACAAAAAATCTATTTTGATACAAATCACAGAAAACTTTAACACTGATGGATTTAAAAAAATCCTGTATTTCTATGCATTGTTCTTTCACAAAGTAATATATACCCCATTTTCTGCATTTGTTTAAATTAAAAATCCAAGTTCGACAAATTAATAAATCATAAATTAAAGCAACCTCTGTTGTAATAGTTTCTCAAAATTTTGAATTCTAAATGCAATTAAAAATGGGGCATTGTTTCTCTCGTGTACATGTATCATCTAAGATAACTATACCTCAGAAAAAAATTACTATCCAATAATATTATGCGTTACAAAGCTGAGGGCTTAAACCTTTAATATACTTCTTTCAAAGTGCTACTTAAAAGCAACAAGAAACGAAACAAATTAAAAAACCCCCTAAAAACTGACTTAATTTGTTAAAAATGTAAATAACATATGGCAGCAGAAGTTAAAATATATTCATGTAAGTGATAAATGTAAAAATCTGATTAAGCAGATCACACAGTAACTTGATATGTATTTTTTCTAGATCCTTCTCAGGCAGACAGAGAAATCAAACTGAAGGATTCCCTGGCTACCCATTCAGCTAAACACTCTATGTTCCTGGTAAGCAAACAGGGACTAAGGTATTAAAGACAAAGTATTTACAGGTTAAGGGAGGAAATGCCTCTGGTTAGGAAGAAAAGTTAAAGAAAAAGTAAGAAGCACTCTGCTCAAATGAGATGAAGTAGGTTGAAATTTTTATGAAGAAAACAATACAGCAAAATTGCACTCGACAATGAAGCAATAAAATTCAGCAGAGGAAGTATGGTAAGAAAAAAAAAAAAACCACTCTGTATTAGACCTTTAATAGAGGACAATGATCTAAGTGTTAGGGTCATGAGAAATTAACCTTGTACTTTTGACAAATATTTTTATACATAAGAAAAATCAACTGGTCTTTGAGTAAAAATAATTTATTCAGTAATCTGATGGGATTGAAATAGCAAACCCACATCAGAGAGGTTTTTTTACACCCCAAGAACAGAAGTTCAAATACCTTTTGCATAGCATACCAGCAACACAATATTTGGAAGAGTACATATAAAATCACAGGGCATTTCAGTTAAAAACCCACAGAGATGAGTGAAACAAGTCATATCTTTTTACAGCTCCTGTTCCAAGTTACCTGTTTACTCAGGCTGCAATTACCATACTAAGTCAATTCATTTTCAGGTTCCTGTGTGCAACTGTGAAGGCAAGAGGCATACTTATATCCTAGAAACCAGGGGGAATTTGCATGAGTTGGCTATGACTAACGGTTAATTCAGTCCTGACACGACCATATTTAACGGCAGGAGAGAGGCAAGCGCTATAACAACCTCTAAGCCACAAGGAAGCCCTGTCTCCCTTTTGAGGTGGATCCTCCTGTGGGTGCAATGCAGGAGCTGGTATCCAAGTCCAGCAAGGGTGTCATGAGGAACAGCTCTACCACAACCCACAATCTGAGCTCAGTTTCCATTCTGTAACAGTTTACAGCAAGTACTGAATGCTTATCTCCCATTAACATTAAAGGAACATAACTGATTTCATTGATTCTCATTGCCTTTTCTTCACTGTTGTAATAAATTTCTTAGTTGCTGAAAAGGGTTTTCTCCTTATCAGTTTTCCTTTTGATATTTTCCTCTGTATTGTGAAAGAAGATAAAATTAACATCAAGTTTGGAATGAATAATAATTCTATATTACACAGTACCTCATCAAGGCAAAAACTCTTGCTTTTGTACACCAGTGTACTTGATGTAATCATAGCTCCGTACACTAGGCAGTCAAGTTGCTGCCAATCCACAACTCACAATGGGAACGCACAAACTGTGGTTCTCTGTCCTCGGTCAAAAGTTTTGATTTTCCATTTTGTTAACCAATTAATAGACTGGGAAGACTAGGCTTTAGAAAACTATAAAGTCATTTAGAATACACAAAGGACCACTTCCCACTGATTAAAAACTGGACCTAGAAACCTTAAATGCTCCATTAAGCTTAGAAAATTGTTATTAACAAGAAGTGGAATATTGAAATACTGCATATTGCAATCCATGGATAAAAAGTTGACTAGTAAGCTTGCAGGAGTATGTTGTGACTGTACTATTGTAATGATGCTCATATCTCTGATTTAATACACTGAATTTAACTTTCTACAAAACTCATTTGACAGATATTTATCAATACACCTGATATAACTAACTGTCTTGAAACACAATGGGTTTCATAACAAAAGGCATCGACAGATCAATTTTCTAAATAAGAATGCCGTTTATCCTCAAAGGACAGAACACGTCTCTGAACTGTGAATTAGGTAACAACATGATACAGCACTGTGGCTATTATTAATTGGAATGAACAACATGCTTTGGCAGCTTCCTTTCTATTTATCTAATAAAACAAAAATTCTCTGTTGAACAGGTATTTTACACTTACTTCTTTAAAAATGTAAAACACCGTAAAATAGAAATTAAGCCAAAATTAAACTAGTGACTTAAAGGAAATCAGATTTCTCTAGGAGTTTATTTACAATTTAAAAAAAAAAAAAATAATAGTATCTGTCATTCTAAAATGCATAAAAAAACCCACAGCAGTAAGTATGGACCATTTTTAAGTTTAAATGACACCTATTTTTTTTTTTTTAGCCTTTTTTAGCCATGCAACTGCTCTTTATATTAGCAACCTACCATACACACTTCAGGTAAGCTAATCATAAGAAATATTGGTATGCCTGCTCTCAAATCTTTTTTTAAATCCACTATTTAACACAATCTTGTTCATTCAAAAGAGAAAATGCTTCCTTTGAAACACCAAGGACTGTAAACTATTAATTGTCAGTGACAACTTTAAACGAAAAAAAAAAACCACTACACTTGAAAAATTGTAGATTATTATCTTTTTCTACAATCAAGAAGTATTTCTTCATATGACTTGGTAATCTTCCTCTGGTTTCCAACCCTTCTATCTCTAAACCAAATTCAGCATTCCACTGAGAACCAGAAAGAGAGAATTAGGACCTCTGCTGCTTGAGGGGGGGAGCAGCAAGCATAGGGAGCAGGGCAAAAAAAGGCAAAGAGGGCTCACTGAGCAACTTGTCCCACCTGGTTCAGTGAGCCTAAATCTGGGATTCCTAGGTAAGGCATGCTTCACTGCCATTGCCTACCTAGTCCTCATCTTTGAAGAGAAGCAATCCTGTGCATCCTGGATAGTTCCAGATGCAAATCAGGTGAACCTGGGGAGAGGTGGGGATTAACTTCTGCTTACAAGCCCTTTCCTTATTTATTTATTTGTTTGTTTGTTTGTTTGTTTATTGATTGATTGCAGACAAAGCCTAGCGATGGAAGGGAATTTGGAGGTTTTCATCTTGTGTCAATAGGAAAAGATGGTCTGATTGTCTTCTGTGGTTTGTACCTTCCAGGTCTTCCTGCAAAACTCTGAGCAATCGTAAATGTCAAAAGGGGTTAGGGGGAATGGGAAGAACAGGATGAAGGGAAGACAGGGAGCAATTCTTTAAGCAATCTTAGCATTTCCTTGCTTCAAGGTCATGACTGATCATTTGTACTAACTCTGATCGTGCCCATTTCAAGCATCTCAATGGGCAGTACTTCTCAAAATGTTCTGCAGTGTTCAGGAGCACAAAAACAGACATCCCATAAGGCATGATTTGCAAAGGCAATTACATATTATTATTAAAGTCAATCTACAGCTACAAACACTTCAGAGTAAGTTAACCGGCACGCACAGTCCAGTAGTATTCTTCCTGATCAGACTAGACTTCAATCAACTTTACAACTCTCATGAAAGATTGCTTTCTTATTCATTTTCCCTCTTACCATGAAGAAGCTTTAAGTCAGTCTTTAAGTCAGAAAATGGGCTACATCGCATTCATACTGAAATGACAGGATACCAAGCTGAAACAGCTTTATGGCATATTTCCTACAGCTTGTATGGTCTTTAGATAATAATTAATTTGTTTCCCTGTTTAACTGCTGTTACCCCAAAGAAACTACTGGCTTCCCTTTTGTGTTAAGTGAAGAAAATGACTAAAGCTGTTGCTCACATTACTGATTTAGCTTTTTCACTTCCTGGTGCCCAGGCCAAATGTTTTCATAGCTATATAAATAATCTTTGCAGAATGTTAATGAATGTTAAATTTTAACTTCAGTGATGGTAGGAAAGATTAGTTTTCTTTGTATGGATGGAAAATACTTTTGATTCAAAGGAACCACATAAGTAACAACACTGCAAACAGTTGAAAATCCCATGATGGCCAGAGCCACCTACATAATTCCTGCAGATGCTTCAAAAATCTTTAAAGTATATAGTTATGTTCACTATCAGATCTCTAGTCCTTGGCTTTGTCTTTAAACTGAAATTGTGGAACTCACAAATCTCCCCCCCCCCCCCCAAAAAAAAAAAAGAAGGGTTTTTTTTTACCTTTTAAAAG